CAGACTCCTGACGAAGACGAAGTGTTCGAAACGTTGAGTCCATAAAGTTCCACCAACTCAACCTGGTTTCGGCGTAAGAAAATCTTACATACGATCACAACGAATTTGCCCAGGTTCAAAGAAGAGAACACTTGGAAATAGATAATTTTGTTCCAGGTCGCATGGTAATCGACATTTTAAAGTTCTTCCTTGTTTATGCTCTTGTCTTGTTTGCATTCGCATGCGGATTAAATCAACTTCTTTGGTATTATGGAGCAATGAGGCAACAGGCGAGAGGATTCGAAATTTGAGAAAAAAATTTCAAAAAAATGCTGTTGTACTCTAGGAATGCGAGCAATACACGAAGTGGATTGCCAATCCAAGTCCGGTTGTAAACGCTGCCAAGATGGACTCTTTGAAAGAAAGCTGTGATATAAAATATAGAAGTGTATCAAGGTATGATTTTTGATCTAAAATCGAAAGTGTTATCTTTATTATCCTTTTCAGTATTTATCATACTTCCGAGACATTATTTTGGGCAATGTTTGGTCTAATTGATCTTTCACATTTTACGTTGAAGGTAAGAGTTCTTATTGACTGAGGTCGCTTTGTCCAACGCGGAAAATGCACGTTCTGCGACCGATGCGGCGGCGCGGTATCACTGTCTGCGTATCCCTTGTCCACACACTCCTTCTGCATTCAGAGGCGTCAAACCGCGTCGCTAGGGTCAATGCAGATGGTGCATGTCTGCTTGAGCTCGACCACCCTTTACTTGAAAAATAATGAGTGCAATTTAGGAAAATCACTTTCTTACGGAATGGACCGGAAAAACAATTTTCGGCAGCTACTCCTGTTGTTCTATTATCGTTTTGCTCAACATGCTTATCGCTATGATGAGCAACTCCTACCAATATATTTCTGTGAGTTCTTTATTCTCATTTTATCAAGATGTACGGTTCATAATTTCATGACGAGTAAATAATTAGTGTTCATGAATCGCCGACAACATCTACGCATAAAAAATACCCACGGGGAGCAAAAATTAGGAAACCGCTCCATTGTCATTTTGCACGCGCAGTTGTTGTCGGCAAGACG